CAAGGTGATGGGGAGAAGCAATTCGATCTGGCCCAACTGCATGGTCTGAGGCTCCTGACGCTGAATCGGCGATAGGGCCGACAACAACGAGTCGAACTGGCTCGAGGAGATCGTATACTAGGAAGGATCATGGTATTACGGGTGGCTTGGTTATGGACTCCAGTGAGGTTGGCGATTTGTTAACGTGTCAGGTATGGCAAGCCAAATGCATCGTAATACTGCAGACATAGATAGGATACCGCCTGGTATTAGAAGTGCTATGTCTGGCATTGAGTATAGTGGTAGCCCACTGAACATGACCAAGGACCTCCTAGAGGCGTATGCTAACGTAGTCGAGGAGAATAGGTTCTCCAACAGAGGTGCTCCCAATATGCTTCTACGTGTCGGACCTGATACCAACTTTTCCGCAAATCATGCTAAGACGGCAGGGTCGGTACTTCCGGGCGAGCTTGAACCAGAGAAGGCTGAGAAGAGCATAAGGCGTTTCCTTGATGGTATCGAGGGGTTGCCTGAGGGCCTAGTCGAACGGCATGTGCGTAACCGTCTAGATGGGTGTAGGAGTGTCGTGGCGCCATTGAACGATTGTCGAGTGTTTGGCTTGGACACGGATGACTTTGTAGCGTTTAATGGTACGCTGAGGGTCGAAAGAGAGTTCACTGGCTATATACTGGGCGTTGGGTATGAGAATGCTATGCAAGCTGCTGGTCTGAGCGATGTTGGTAATAGGAGGGTAGTAGTGGGCTTGTTGAGATGGATGAGGACATTGGCAGGTGTTGATACTGCACCGTTGAAGGAGATGGCTCAACGACACAGGGCTGCGAGGGAGAAGCAACTGCAGGGTATCAGAGGACATGAATCTGCTACTGGGGCGGCGAGGTAATCGTGGAACAGGGATGCTCGAGTGGTGGCTATCAATCGGATCTGTACTAGGGTTGTCCTACTGCCTCGTTGTAGGGCAGCAGTATCTCTCATATTTGTGTGGGAAATTCTGCGCACTTTGATACGATATCTGTGATCAATGCCCTGTGGGGTTGATCTCGGATGGAACGAACATTGGGGTTTTTTTAGGTCGGCATCAATCGGGGGATCAAGACAACCGTATCTTACTCCTGCTACCACATCTTGGTCAACACGGTATAATCAGAATATAGGGAGACCGGCAGTAGCTACTACACCGTACAACCAGGCGGCTCAGTGGGCAGCTCTGAATCAGGCCAATAGGACGGCTCATCTTAGGGCTCAGCAGCAGCAGGTAGGCAGCTCTATGGTGATGATGAGTATCTATGGATTCTTCGCTGTGCGCAGGCTTCTGTGCTAACACGGTCTGGGGTTTCCGGCTCTGGACAGAGTGCCTTTCCTTACCGAACGGGCATGCAATCGATGTAACAGAGGAGGTCTGCTGTGATGTTGGTGCTGATGTTACTGGTTGATAGGTTCAATACCACTCCTTCTCTAACTCCTGGTTTGGTAGCACCCCCTCCAGGTAGTGCATTGGCAGAGTTCCAACAGCGGTTAGCTAGTGCCAGTCCAGAGCAACGACAGATGCTCCTCCGCAGTTTGGGTGAGGCGGCACAACGTCACCAAGCTGCAGGTGGCAAGACTAGTTAAATACGTACTGCGAGAGTGTGCTTCGCTCCGCTGATAGTTACCGATTATTTGTATTATTCGTTGTAGTATTGTAGGTGCATATGAGTGACCCTTTGCGTTGATAGTAATGGGGAGGGGGCATACCTAGAAGTATGACCCTTGGGGCTCTCAGGGATAGCCGTTTGCCTCGTGGGGGAGGGCCTAAGGGTTGTTGACAGGTTTGTATTGTCTATGTCTCATTCACCATCATCGTCATCTGTGGAGAGCTTGAGCAGTTTGCTTGAGGCCTCTCTTGTGGGTCAACCGTTGGGGAGCATGATCCTATTATGGATGTCCACTGCTTGCGTGAGTCGAGGGTGTCGCTGTCGTCTCTACTGTGAATCTACGTCTGGACCTTTGCGATCTTCGTGAGGTTATGGAGTGCCCTGATCAGCGTAACTGCAGGGGGTCTAGGGGGAATATGTGTAGATCAGGCATTGCTGTTTTTGTTATCGAGAGGTTCCCTCAGGTGCTTGCTTTATCACTCACATACATCTACTTGTACTACCACACCCTAGGACCGAGACCACAACGGGGATCGATCGAGAATGCGCAGGATGCTGAGGTTGAAGAGGTAGTCGCATACGAGGGGCTATGGCAGATCACGTGGCTGCTGTCGAGGGATGTCTACTAGGGAGGAATGGGTGACCAACTTCACTGCAGATAGAATAAGTCTGTTCAGATTCAGCCTAATGTGGAGAACACTACGACGGTACCGGCTGGAGGCGCGGCACCGATAGATCAGGATGACGGGAAGCACTCGTCTGCTAGGAAGGTACTGGTAACAGATCCTCTGTACTGTATATAGTATGTTTGGTCTCAGGGGCGAGGGGACAGGGGTTGCCTCGCTGATAGAGCATCACAGTGCTTTGAGCAACTAAAAAATTCGACCACTCCCGAGGAGGAGATCAATTCTTTGAATAAAATTAAAGATCTTTTTGCGGAGGTAGTTTCTGAGGTGAGCTCAGTAGAGCACTACTACCCCTCCCCCTTAGATCGAGCGAGGCAATGCCCCGCGGGCTAGGGTGGTCTCGGCCGAAACCATTATCTGCAGTCAGCTGGTGCAAAGTGATGTAAGTCTTCTCAGAGTGGAGAACCGACTTGACCCTTCTGTGTTAATGGTGGTTTGCTACTCATAGAAAAGGGCAGATCATTCGTGCTCCCCGTAGTACGATGCTGAGTTCTCTGTTAGAGGGTCTGCGATGTCGCCGTAGTCGTTGTTTCTTTTTCCAGTTCCTATCGATTCTGAATCGAGCAAAGTCGAATGAAGAGTCTCCGGAAGGGTCAATACCACCGGAGCTCCGTGAACTATCAACTTGGCTCATCGAGAAGACAGTGCCGATCATATGGTCGACCTAATGTGCATTAGTACCCTATGGGAGAGGTATAGTACCTCTGCGGCCTGATGCCGCTGTTCGCAAGATATTTCTCAAAGTCGTCTGTGGTCTATAAACTGAATCAGTGAGGTCATCACTTATGTTGTGTTTAACGGTAGAAGCGGCGGCGGCGGGGGCGGGGGTCTTTTTGAAGTGAGGTTAGGGCGTACGAGTTGGGGTCCTCAACAGTGATTGTCCTACACAGTCTTCAAATGGGACACTTCAGGGCAACACCACTGTGTCCGACCTCTGTTGAGGATCACTTGTTCTTTTCTAGGTTGATTGTGTTAGGAAAACTACAGTTGTGGCTCCACCAGTGTCGGAATATATGTTTGCTACGTTTCAGCTGGAGTTTCCTCACTTAGAAAGTTCACATACGAGTTCGGGCAGAAGTGTACACACACCAGTGAGAATTCCCAAAAATTTTCTCGAAATTTTCATTTTGTCACCACCAGCACATGTAGTTGGCAATGTGCATATTTCCCTGCTATCGGTTTCCACGCTTAGTTGTTCTTTTTTGAGATCGTCGAGATAAAGGTAAATAAATGACTACCGCGTACCCTGCGTACGGTGAGCGTAAAACGGTAACGACTATGCATTCACAGCTGTCCACTACTGTGCCTAGCATTGATTCGGTTGATTACGACAACCGAATGAATGCTCAGCTCACAGGGATACCTGATGAAGGGGAAGCTCAAGTAAGCCTTCGGATCAGCTGTTGTTTGCAGAGTAAACTCACCTTTCTAGGACTTAGGGTCTTATACGCGTATTCAGTGGTAGAGTAGATGATATCAAAAAAACCATGATTGAGAAATATAGTGACAGGAAAAATTCTGGCCGTTCGCTTCGATAGTGATGAGTGTTTATGAAGAATTGATATTCGGACATGAAGTACTTCATTTTCAGTGGGACCTCGAGGACGACTCTGAGTTCTTCAGCGGTCCTGATGGGAGGGCCAACAAGGTGAGGAAGTCGATCCTCACGCCGTGGTGGTTGGATGATAAACGAGGCAGCAAGACCTTTGGTGTTATTGCGGATGTCGATGTTGATAGTGATTCCGAGCCGGCAACTACTTTGCCTCCACTGCAGAAGCGGTACAGGTAGGTGGAAGAGAACGCATGAGCTGATTCGAAGTCCCTGTGGTCAGGTCCCGTACAGAACTTCAATATCACGTAGTTCCCTCCACCTCATTTCGGCAGACCTGGCGAGCTATCAAGTGTCCATTCGGTGTTATAGGTGAGTTCCTCCTCCTCTCCTAGATGGGGTTATCGAAAAGGCAAGTTGTAGTGCAGGTGCTGGCTTTGCTGGCCTTATCGCGCCTCCGAGACGGAAGACGTGGAATCGGTCGTTCTCGGCTAGTGTGAGAATCATTCGCAGTGCGGGCAAGAACATCCCGCGGAATCCCTCATTGATGCAGTGAGTGTCTCGATGGGTCTTTGGTGTTGGCGGCAGGGGTAGCCTTTTCAGGAGCATATGCGATGTGAGCCTACCTGGTACGGGTAAATCTGGGGTAACCCGATGGAGGACGGCAGTAGGGCGATGCAAAATTGAGTGGTAAGTAGCAGCTCTTTGCATCGATCCTTGTCCGATATTCTTTTCAAATATCAAGTCCATGGCGAGCCAAGAATATAGTCATCCTCGCAGCGTTCATATGCAATATTTATGTGCCCAAGGAAAGCACCTTCTATGTTTATATTTTTCATGCAAAAAAATTCAGGTTGATATGAGCAGAAGTTGAGGTTGATACGAAATTGGAGATCCCAAGCAAAATTGGGTCTTTAGAGCTTGACTAACGTAGGTATTGGCCATCGAAACGAACAGCGACGTTAAAACGGCAAGTGTCATTCAAGGGTCCTGGGAATCTGCACGATAACTCCGACTGGCGAGATGCCCTGGGAGTAGCATAACCTCTCTGTCCTAGCGTCCATCATAATCATATTCAGGATCCATCGTACCCGGTCATTCTCTACTTTCACGGTGGTGCCTTCGTCCTGTGTACTCCCGGCAGCGTTGCTTACAGACCCTTCATCACCAAATGCGCATACGACTCTCAAAGTTTCATATGTGCACTCAACTACTCCCGCCCCCCAGAGATTGGGCTCAAAGATGTATGTTGGCTCGTTCGACGGAGTTTCACCCGCGATATGAAAAAAACTAGTGAAAAATATTTTCCACGACCACTGCATAGCGCGAATAGCGCGTTTCTCACCGAGTTTTACGCGGGTGAAACTCCATCCTTGTTTGTATTAACAACACTCGTTCAGATCATCGAAGAGGGCATCATATCGTATAGCTATCTCATCAACTCCCTCGAGATTCCACCCGAACGCATTGTGGTCATGGGTGACTCTGCTGGAGCGAATCTGGCAATGAGCGTCCTATTGCAAATTAGAGATAGAGGGCGATACCCCCTACCGGCTGGCCTGGCCCTCCTGTCGCCCTGGGCAGATATGAGTGAGAATTGACCGCCTCAGTTGAGGTGAGTGCTGATGGTATCTTTTGGCAGGCTTAACGGAAGATCAGCTATGGTGTGAGAATGCTTATTATGACTACTTACCGGTGGAACTGATAGTCAAATTCGCCAAGATATGCGCTGATTCTTCTGGGGTGGGTATGTGGACGACTATTCATCTCAGTTGAGCTGTTCTTTCCCTGATCAGTTACCAGTGGACGACCCATTGGTGTCACCGGGCCTGTCACCATCATTGGACTTGCAAGTGCCTATCTATTGTACCTATGGCGAAGTAGAAATTCTGCGGGCATCAACGGAGCGGCTCTGCAGGAGGTGAGAATTCAAGCTAACGTGTGGTCCTCTGGGAGGTGTTTGGTGCTTCAGATTGAAGCTCGAAAATAGCAAAAAAGTAGAAGTTGAAATGATAGTAGACATGCCCCATGTAAGACTCCAGTAATGACTAGAGCAGTCGGCTAGGGTGGTTTCATGTAGGACTGCTATATGTTCTGCGATTCCAAGCAAGCGACCACTCTCGAGGCATGCGATATATTGGTGGAGAAGATGTTGGCGATGAACAAGGCAAATGGTGCACGTCGAAAAGGATCGTCGATGCATCATCATCATCACCATCACCATCATTCCGACCATCGCGACTCAGCTTATACACTTTGAGGTCTATTGAGACTCTCCTTGTTTTATATCATACTCAATGGTCCCTCGTATTATACCGTCGATTTTGTAGTTGTCTCTGCCAAGTTGCATACTTTAGTCGTCGTACAATTGCTTTAGTTTAGTTCTTATCGGGCGGTGATCTACGGCAGGCATCCTCCTGCAGGGTTTTCTTTCTTCTGCTGCCATGTAGAGGGTATAGTCATTCACCCCTCCTCATCACCTATGGACGATCTTCACTCGATACACTGCGTGACGGAGTTCCTATGAGTAGCTCAGTAATGAGTGCCATGACGCTCATCAAGGCGTAGCACCACTGCGATACGTATCCTCGCTAATAGCGAGTCGCTATCAACCTTATTGATCTCAATGTAGACGAGGAGATCGTGGAGCTATTGATACAGCCAGTTAACTGACGAGAACTCAAAAGGTCGAATCTACAATCAAAGTATATTGTTGTTAGTAGAAGTATGGTTAGAACTGCCGTCTCGGTTCGAAATCAATGCTAACTGCTATCCTAGCAGGTCTCGAGTGCTAGTACGACTAGATGATGACGTATAAGTAGATATATTCTATCATGGACTACTGCTACAGATCTCCAGTCCTCATCACGCATCAAACGCGGGTTGATCCCTAAGGAGCATAAGAATAACGAATTGTCGACGAGTAAAGCAGCCTGGTCGCAACCACGATCAAGGCGAAGAGAGCAGAGATAGACACGCGGCGCTATCGGATACATACATGCAACAGTATATCCATTTGGTATCCTGGCCGTACAGATATGAAGGATCTCAGAATAACTTGGTCCCATAAGCTCCCTTATTATCAGAGAATGGTTCTCCCGGTGCACCGTTTCCACTCTAGGTTGATCCACCACCTGTGGCGCCTTCAGGAAGCGATTTAATACTAACGAGGCTGGTAGATACTGCCTTATGGCAAGAGCCAGACAAGAAGTAGCATCGTAGTGAGGACCCAAATCCATTCGAAATATCGTACAAGTTGGGATTGTGAACAGACCATCCGACCGCCACGCGAAGAATAACTCTCCTTGGCTGTTGGTGATCATCGTGGGTCTCGATGAGTTCAACTGGTAACGGTGACTCGGGAGTTGCCCCCTTATAATGCAATTCCTGGCCACTCTTCTTTTTGGCAAATCAACAATCACAAGTTGTGGAGCTCCTTCGTACAAGATGAAGAGTCTATCACGAACTTCGTCGTAGTGGCAGGATGTTCTTAACGGGAACCCCCATGCTTTCGTGAATGTCGGGCGCATTGTAATCGCACCAGACCTGCCATGAACTACTGTTTCCAGAGAGATGAGGTGCCTCATCGAAGCACGACCTTGCATTCTCATCTTTGAGCGCAGTCCAATCAGGGAGGTGCCGCGACAGAAGATGTCGTCCACTGGAGGTATAGTCACCGGGGGCTCGACCACTCGGATGGAAACATCTCTACGACCAACGAACTGCTTCAAGATGGTGCGCAGCTCCTCCATGCCCAAATCATCCTTATCCCATAGGAAGTCCACCAGCATGAGATGTAGAGCGAACATATGGTGGGGATCAAAGACCAGAGGAGTGATCATCGTTGGAGAGGAAGAGTGTGGAGGGTGTGAGACACGTGTCGCATATGCGTGCAATCACAAGATTGCAGTCAAAAAACAGCAGCAGCGCATCATCGTCATCGTCAATGTTATTATTCAACTATGTCATTGTTACAATGATGATAGTAACCTCCCTCCAGCGCCTCCTCAAGCTTCCTCTGTTGGCCGCCCGACACCCTCTACCGCTACTTCGGAGATCCACCGGGCCCAACTCTCGGGACATGCACTCCCGATCGATTCCTCTGAGTGTTGCTCAATGCGCATTCATAACAAACTAGCACTCCATCTCCCTGAAAATCCTCATATCAGAGCAAATCGGAAGTAGAACTCGAATATTCGATGCACGAGACAAGTATATGGTAGCGATGGAAGATAAAACTCGACTGTCATATGATCGAAAACAGTCTCCCGACATGAATACTAATCACGGAAGCTAGCATTCCGCCGAGCCCGTTGCCTCTAAGAACAGGAAAGGAGGGGCTAGCGGGAGAAGTCCACATCCTATCCTTGGCGCGAGTGAAGAAACATCTTCTTCAAATAGGTTTTGACGTGTCGGAATTCCGGATCAGCTTCGTTCGTCCCCTGCATTTCGTTCGAAATATCCGTACTCAAATAACACAACACCCGACTAATTGAATACAACCCTATCACGTGGAAGGCGCATGTTTCCTCAGCGTCCTCACAAGTTTGCAGGCTGAAACCGGTGACTCAACACTTCCACTATCTGTCGAAAGAAATGTGGTATTGGTTCGGAATAGCCTCACTTTGTTCCTTCATATAGGGGGTCAGCACATGATAGATCCCATCGGCCAGGATTGAGTTCGTGGCCTTGGAGACCTCCAACGCCTTCCTTTGAGCATCAAGGAGCCCTCGAATCCACACCAAATCTGAAACCTTCACTAGCACCTCAGCATCGATATCCTCCGGTATCTGAGGCACATATTATTCCGCAAGAGAAGGCTACCACTACAGCCTGTTCCTTGGGCATTTGATCCTCTCTTCTATGCGAAGGTGACAGTCTCTGCTCCTTTTCCTCCACAACCAAGTTCACCGATGCATTCTCGTCGTTCTCACACTGCGTCTGCTTGCTACGGTGACTACTACTCTCCGTCACCTCCTCTTCCATGTCGAACGCCAACCACTTATCGACCTTCACAGGAAGGTAGTCTTTGAGTATTCATGGCGGCCCCCGTCGACCTGATCAGCTGCCCGCTTCCGAGTCGATTGTGACTTCTTCTCTATCCTCTTCGATCGACCCTGCTCCTCCTCGCTGGACGAGGCCGATGAATACCTACACGCGTCCTCCCATAGGCCACCCGAGAAGGCCCAGGTCACTCCCATGCCCGTCCACGATGACCACCACCATCAGAGATGATACGTTGAATTCTATGGCGTGCTGCTAACAGACGAGAAGTGGTCGGCCCCGGTGGGGACGAAGGTGGGGAGGATTTCTCCATCACTGACCAAAAACCGATAGCATGGGAATTGACCAAACACTCCACACAAGCAACGGTTAAGTCATGAATATCTTCAGTGCTCCACTTCGCCTCTGACCAATCCTAGAAGTGGATGAGGAAACAGTGGTGAACACCGAGTCCCCCATTTCGTTGAACTGCCATTCATCAACTCTAGAATGGAGGACCGTTGAATTAGCGGCATCGTGATATTGTGTTCTCGAAAGGATCGAACCATATGAAGAACAACCAACGATGAGAACCTTTGTAGTTGGTATCGATCGGTCTAGCGGAGCGATGCACTCATAATAAAGATATCGCGATTCACACCTTCCTCAAGGAGGCTCTGACGTACAGCAAAGGAGGATAGAATGTGTGGATGCAATAAGAGAATGTGATGAGAGTCGTCGTGGAGGCAGCTAGGTCGCCAGGAAAGGCGCCGGGCTCGCTATTATTCTACCTGAGCTCTCGGGGGGAGTCCTTTTCTGTGGCTACACATATCAACGTCTCAAATCGTGATGATAGACAAAACGTGCATAGCCCTTCCTTGAAAGCCTCCTCGACACTCAGTGAGCTCTAGTACATATTTGCAAATACGGAAGCGCTAGGAAGAGATTCCTTCCACGCAATGAGGAAGTCAGCGACAAGTGGCGAAGAATTGTCAGTACATGACCAGTGCCGCAATCTAACATCACGACAAATGTCCATTCATACCATCTAAGAATGAAATCGGGCCTGGTCAGGATCTATCTAAACTGAAACCGAGCCGATTGGTGAATATAAAACCCAACAGATGTTCAGTCAAGAATGACTCAGTCCCATCACTCACATGCTGAACGATTTAATGAACCTCACACTTCAACCGATTCATTCCGTACTTCTATAACCGTCGGAAGCACTCACAGGAGTACTAGAGCCAGATTTAATCACAGTAGTAGAAGTGTCCACTGCGGCATGCCCTAATCCTGCAACAACTCTAGCTGGAGAAGTCGTGCTCACTCTAGGACCTGCCAAGCACTGCCCTACGCTCAAGTGAGAGAGAGCTACCTTGGGAGGCATAGGGGTTGATATTTGAACATGTGAGGACTCTGGTTGTCCTAGTGCTCTGGCCTGGACTAGGGACGTAGCTAGATCGACCCGCAGGGGTAGAAACTGAGCAAGGCCGTCGGAATGAGACTCAGACCGAGTTCCCTCATACTGTATCTCGCCGTGGTAGGCCCTTGGGAAGCTGAGGGGTAGCCAGCATAATACGAAGTCGACATGGACTGGCCGGGAACGCCACTGCTTGGAGCACTGATGACCCTGGGTGTGGGCAGAGTAAGAGGACCCATGGTGGGAAAAGAACGAGGCATATAAGGCGCGATGAGAGATGCACAGTCCTGAGTAGTGTATGCTGATGCGGAGAGACGAAAAGGAGGAGCTCACATGCCTATATTGCCGTACTCTATCTTCAATGTTACTGAACAACTGAACGAGACGAACCTACGAGGGAAAAGCGGGAGCGACCAAAGAACAGTAAATCTCAACTTCGACGTACGTCAAGTACATACTCGAACTCGCGACCGCTACAAACAATGCTAGTTCCGTTTCTTCCAGTGTTGGAGGAATATATGTTCACTTTCCTCAGCTGAGCTCAAGAGTTTCCTCACTGATTATAGAACTTTACATACAAGATCTGGCAAAGCTGTAAATTTCCTGCATTTCTCCTCGAAATTTTCATATCGTTACCAACAAATCTAGTTGACCGTGTGTACATTTTCCCACACACGTTGCTTCGTCATCCCGAAGGTCTAATATAAGTATAAAACCCATTGAAATTTCACATAGTCACCACATATTCTAGAGAGGCGAAATCCGGAGTCTGATCGTCACCTTATGGCCTGGCAGCCACTTGGCTTTACTGAAGGCCTCAATGTCCTGCAAGTCACCTGGTGTAAGACTCTCTAACGTCTCAACCTAATCGAAATAAAAACACCACGTGCCGGGATCGAACCCGGGACCTTTCGCCGTACTGTGTCGTAGCCGGCGCTGATGAAATGCGCAGCTATTTCCGCCGACATCTTGTTCACGCGGAAGAAGTTGGCAACATCAATCTTCTCCCTCTGCACGTCTGGGTCCATGCTCCAAATGGCAGCAAACCCACGCAGATGCTCCGGGCTGATGATCACCAATCTCATACCACTCCTCGGCGAATGTGCCCCTACTAATAATGGCATAGCATGTCTACTATATAATGAATAGTATTGGCCGGCTTGGTCATCTCTATCTGCCGCTCAAGACGGTGGAAAAGCTTATGAACAGCCTCCATCACATCACCTCTAACAAATAACACTAACCCACGATAAACCGACAAGACTTACGTTTTCTTCTCACTCCTGCTGTTGTCTTCCATCGACGTGTTGGCCACTTCTACAGCGCTTTTCGGGGAGTTCGTGAAGGAAGACATATTTCCAATAGTGTACACTACAAAACTCTCCATGGTTATCGTCAACTCTACACTGTCTATGGCTAACATAACTGCTATTATTAATATTCCCACAACAACAAACGATGAACTTTGGAAGAACATATGCCACTGAAGTCGTTCGCCCTATACAAATCCTTAAGGGTTGCGTTCGACTAGAGTATTATGAGTTCGGCATTAGGCTGTAAGCGAACCTTCCACTTGTCAAAGAGAGCTCGTAATGCCGCGATATACTTCTCCTTCAGAGCCTCAATGTCATCACTTGTGGGGTGGTCTTTCTGGGTCACTTCTATAGGCTGAAAAAGAACAACACCAACTAGGAACAGAAACCCATTCGAGGGGAGCTAATTCAAAAAAGTCCCCAATACCATTCCAGTGTTCAATCAAAACGATACCAAATCTTCATATAATATGTATTATATAGTATAATACAAAAAAGAGTAAAATAATACTAAAATAATATCAATCAGTATTA